TAGGGTCATAACTTTCGAGTAAGTCGAGCATTTAGCGGTTGGGTTTATCATATGAGAGGGAGAGGCAGAGGGTGAATGGATCTGTTTAAATTTCAAACTGTCCACTTGGCTGTTGCCGGAAATGGGGAACCGCGAACCGAGAATAAAATCTGGATGACGACCGGTTGATGTGGAGACTGGGATGAGAGCGGAAAAAGTGTGCATGCGAATAGTGTCTCGTCCCAAGAAAGGGAAGAAGGGGAACCAGCCGGGCGGTATTTTGACCCAAGGCTTGGGGGGTTTTAGAGGAGTGGGTAGGAGACCATAGGGAGGAGTTGAGGGAGTGAGGGGAGGTGGGTAGGGCAATGGGGACAAGAAGAAGCTGAATGGATGGAATCCGAAAGGCAACAAGAGTCAGATAGTGCATATAAGCGAAGAGATTGAATGGATGATTCGATAGCGGGTCGTCGTACAGTAGCTGGTGGTAGGTGAAGGGTTGCGTTTGAGTTACAACGAGAATGAGAATGGAGAACTAACTAGGCATGGTGGGGACTCCAGCTGAGACGAACGAGGAGATCGGGACGAAGAAGTCAAAGTTGAAAGTTGAAAGTGAAAATTCAAAAGTGAAAAGTGAAAAAGAGAAAAGTGAAAGATGTGAGATGAATGTGAATGAAGCACCATGACTCGATATTGTGAAACTATCAACAACGCATGCAGTACCTCGTAAGTGAGGAAAGAACGACCCAAGAAAATCCTGCACCACGTCATCTGTCGAATCAGAAACCCGAGCCGCACTGCCGGTGCTGGGCGTGGAGTCCCAAGGCAGCCACCTGACTGGCTGTGGAAGGTGCAGGCGGTGGGCAATCACTACTGCCAACTCGTTCTTGGTAGGGCAAGTGGGATAGAATATCCAAAGGAAGGCACAGTGGGTTAGAAAATGTTTCCATCGGCCACGGGGCTTTCACTAGCCCTTGTCATGCTGTGTCACTGGGTTCCCAGCAGCTTGGATCCAGCCCCCTACGAGTAAGACGACCTGACCTAATAGAGGCTAATGACCTAACAACCACACCTACTGATGCTAACTGGTGCTACCGGCGATCGGCCATCCCCGGGAACTACCTAGGCCCGAGTTATTGGGTGCTCCCGTTGCCCGTCGTGTTGCCCGTGAACTGTGCCCTGTCAATGCTCGAACAAGGACTCGTACGGTGTCGCTACCGACCTCCCTCTGTGCCTCTCCTGCAGCTTGATTCCTAGCAACCTCCATTGATTGACTGTGCATATCTAGGTACAGACAATCCCCAATTTCAAGGGACCTGTGGTGCTCTTGGTGCTTTTACCTTTCCAAGCTCTGTCACTGACCGAGATTTGCACATGATTTTTACTCGCTAATGAGACTCATCCTGTACACGCACCCCGAACACACATCGCCGGATCCCTCTGTACCACCCAACCTCCCGTACCGAGAATTGTCGCACCCCTGTGATTCGCCTTGCCAGACAGCCACAAATCGACCCAACAGTCTGGTCGCAGCCTAACGGGTTGACGGACGGCCCATAGACCCGGCCACCCGACACAACTGTCTTCTCACTTCGCTTCTTACACTACTCGCACTACTCCCTTGCTCCTACAGCCGCCGTCGTCACCATCCATTCTTAGTCTGTACTCCATACTCGTACAGCTATGCACCTTCGTGCTTTGAGATCAACGCCTTGCTTCCTCTTCGAAACTCGATGGGTCGGTCTTCGGTTCGACAAAAAGAAATCACCTCTCATCTCACCCCTGGATCCTTGTAACCCTACACCATCCTCGCCCGTCAAGATTACAATAACAAGCGAGAGCTGAGTGACAGTTGAGAACAAAGAAAAAGAGGCCAATGAATCGTCCAAGTGACACGTTTTCTAGTCGGAATTCTGCCGTACGGCGACCCCTGCACGGCGTCCTTTGCACCTCGCCAGGCGAACCAAGGTGCGGATCCTCATACTCGCAGCACCCGAACCTGCAACAAAAGACAACGCATTCTCACACGAACCACGTATCTTTTCGAGAAACTTTTCAGAAACGAGCGGCGTGCAGAAAGAGTTGGACATGGAACCATGTCTCTGCACATCAATCTGAAATGAAGGATCACCAGGTCAATCTACAAACCGATCAAAGTGAAACCAGTTTTCCCAATCGTACTTACACACCGCGATATACATGACCTGAGCGGGACCGAGAACCAGCAAGTCAAGGTGATTTACGTGCAGCTCCCGAAGCTACCATCATGTCCGAACTCTGTTGTATGCCTTCTACCCATCCGTGAAAGCTCCAAAGCATTGCCTGGGATTTCAATTGCGACTGTCCCAGCCTCCTGTCTGGGACCCCTTGTCTCCAGCTGTCCCCGTTGCTTAGCCCACACCAGGTGCATTGCCTTTGCAGATTCCGCCATAAAACCGACCCTCTGATCCTTTAGCACTCTGCAAACAGAAACCTTAGCACTAGCTTCTGGGTCGGTGACCTATCACTATGTGACACATATTAGCTTACTGGAAATCACAGGTATCCACCATCTCTGAGATGTCAATCATCATCTATCCGCTCAGCGGGACGAGTCGTGCTCGTGACGAGATGACCAAGAGTTCTAATCCGAATTTTGTGAGCCCCTTTGTGCAAGCCCCGAGCTGGGGTGGTATTGCATCAAACACGATTCCGAGCCAACCCGGGAGAAGCTCTCACAGAGAGCCAATGCACCCGCCAGGCCCTCTGTTTTCGTTTTTCCCCCTGTAGGAGAAATGCCATGCACCTCGATTCCACTCCAAGCACGAGACTTGGTTTCCAAACCGGACAGTTTGAGACTTGCATGCCCCGACCTCAAGCCTCGTTCTTGTCGGCATTCGACTTCTTTGTTCTTTTCCAAAGGCAGACTGTGCTCACCGCAGAAAAGGTGAATAGAATGCTGGAATACCAAAAAGGTCAGGTGCGGAGAAAATTTAGGGGGAATAATAGGGGAAACTCACCAGAGTGCAATGCTCAAGCCCCAAATGGACTTCATTTCCAAACATGTGGCCTTGGAAGTGCCAATCCATTGGGAATAATTGACTTTACCACCCTTATTGAGACTATTACCGAGTGCCGAAGTAAAGTCGTATGCGCTCGAGGTGGCATTGGATATCTCATCCAGAATCACACAATTGAGGTATGAAAGTGGCTTGCCAACGACAACAGAAACAACAATCAAGGCAATGAGAAAAAGAGCGTCGATGCCAGTGCTGATCAGGAAAGGAAGGATGTTGTCGAAGTAGAGAATGACGGTGATGGCACAATACAACACAGCGATACACACCTAAAGCGCCTGGTTAGGACAATACTGCTGACTGTGGACAGACCTGACACCTACAATGCTCAGGATAGCGACGAGGACCGAGGGCGGTGTTGCTCCAGCGTTGACCATCTCCGAAATGAAATTGGCTGTGATTCCAATGACGGCGATCATGGATGCCATCTGAAGAGCCCGAGTGACTTTGAATGTCGCACCGAGGACGCCGTGGTCAGGACCCATGTTGAGATACAACGACAGAAAAGATGGAATATGATTCAAGGAAGGGAATGTGGCCGTGAAACGACGCAGCTAGAGAACGTGGTGGATGGCGTCGAGCCAAAAGGTGTACAAACAAAGAAGAAGGAGAGTATGTTGCGTCTGCGTCTGAAGACTGAAAGATAATCTAAGGAATGCTTCTTGGATCGGAAACAGATGCGTTGGTTCAGAGGAAGTGTGTTGCAGCTGGTTCAGAAAATGAAGAACTGGACCAGCGAAATGGAGGGCGACTATGGCTTAAGTATTTGAGATGGTGATCAATATCGGTGGATGAATACCAAAACATTGTGGACGTGTTGCATGCTGAGAGATGAAGCCAGCTGATGTCTCTGATGTCTCTGGCCAGTCTCAAACCAAGGGAATGGATCCCATAACGGATGGTGGTTGTCTGCTCTGGACCACGACGAGGCTGTTTCGGCCAGGGCGCCAAGAGTCTATTTCGGGCCATTGTGCCTGCCATCCGCCATCTACGCACTTGCTCTTGGGCGGCTATTTTCCTTCTCTTCTACACCAAGGTGCGTTGCCGCCAACCTCATGGCCATTCAGTCTCAGCGCTGCGATTTGTTGAGGGCGCGTCTGGTCAAACTAGGACGTGCCTTGGACATTGGTTGGCGTTTCAACAGCAGAAGAGATTTTCGACGTCGGTAAAAGGTGTACCTGGTACCGAGTACCCAATAACAAGTCACCCGATGTCTCGTCAAGATCTTGACAAGCTTGACAAGGTCCTCGGTACGTGGAACTGAGCCGATTCCAACCTTGAAAGGCAGCGAAGGCAATCGGAGGCTGCCACTCGCCTGGCCTGCCGTGCCTGTGCAGGATACTGATCATCGGCGGCTTCCAGGCTCGCAGGCTCCAGCCCCCGGACACCTAAAGCCGCCAATTGGTGGCTCTCGCCTGGATGGCCAATTGATGAGCTGCCCGCCAACTGGTTCCCGGTTAGTGCTTGATTGGTGCTTAGAGCTTCGACGTTTCCCGTCCATTGGCTCCACCAAATGGTCCGTCCATCCAATACATCGACAGCTACTCGGTACCTATGACTGCAAAAATTTCCTTATCGTTATCAGGATCTGTCTGGGAAACTGTCAAGCTGGGGCACAGTGTCTTTGATGCGTGGCTTGAGAAGCGCATAATTTTCTATCTTATCACAGCTGCAAAAAGCTCTTCAAGTGTCAATCCAAGTACTAATAAAGCTCTTTCAATCCGCCTGTTCCACACCGCTTGTCAGTTCTTATATTACCCAAGATACCATCGTCAACACCTCGATCTCATCTTAACTTTTTGTGAGACTTCGCTCCGCACGTCACCTCGTCATCGGATCTCGTCCTCTCGCAGCAGCACCCTTCGTCACTGGCCACTCCGCATCTTTTTTGGCTGCACGACATTTCCCCATCCCCACTCCCAAGCCGGCCACAATTCATTCTGCTCGGCTGCGGCCAGTGACTCCGCCATGTCGCTCACGCGAGTTGCGTCGGTCGATGGCTTCGAGCGTGAGAGAAGAGGCTCTCACGTCTCTTCGCATCGCAGAATGAGTTTCAATCCTGTCAGCGAATGGATCCCGCCCACGGACCGGAAACCCAGTCTGGTCTCGGTTGCTCTGCAGTTTGAAGAAGTTTCGAAGCGAAAGCGCATAGGTATGTGAATGACCCATGTAAGGGACGCACAAGATCCCCACTGACAGGCCTATGCTGCCACAGTCCAGGTTGTTGTTGCCATAATATATTGCCTGTTCGCGGCCGGAATAGTTTTCGGCTACGCGGCCATCAAGCCTGTCTTGATCGATGAAGGCGTCTTCAAAGACCTGTGTACGCCAGAAGAGGTGGACCAACACGTTTCGCCATGTTACAAGCAGGAGATTCGGTTGAACTTGATGTTCACTGTGGCAGCTGTCTCGACCAATGTCGCAGCCCTCCCTATCGGAACCATCCTCGACAAGTACGGACCCAAGGCCTGTGGAATCATAGGCAGCATCTTTCTGACCACCGGTGCCTTGCTCTTTTCCTTCGCCTCCCAGGTTGACGGTGACCTCTTTACTCCAGGATACTTCTTCCTGGCCCTTGGCGGTCCTTTCGTCTTTATCTCTTCCTTTCAACTCTCAAACACCTTTCCACAAAACTCAGGCTTATACTGGCGCTCCTGACGGGTGCCTTCGACTCCTCATCAGCGCTCTTCCTCATCTTCCGCCTCATTTACGAAGCCACCGGCGGCAAACTGAACACCCACCGCCTCTTCCTCCTCTATCTCATCGTGCCTATCTTCATCTTCATCGTCCAGGTCTTTATAATGCCAAAGGACTCGTACAAAACTGTAAGTGAAGTGGTCAAGGACGCTGAAGAGCAAGTCAACGCTCCCACCCCACCCGAAGCATCCGAAGATGAACGTCGCTCTCTGCAAGAACGAAGAGAAAGTACTATCCAGGAGATATCCTTACTCCTGGACAAGTCGACCAACACAAAACGCCAGAAGAGAGAAGAGCACAAGAACGCGAGGTCGGGTGTGTGGGGAGCTATGCATGGCTATTCCGCCCTTCAACAGATCAAATCGCCATGGTTCTGGCTCATCACGTGCTTTACCGTCGTGCAGATGACGCGGATCAATTACTTTGTGGCCACGATTCGGCCGCAAGAACGTTACCTTCTAGGGTCTCCAGAGAGCGCGAAATTGGTGAATGACTTTTTCGACGTGGCACTTCCTCTGGGAGGTGTTTTGAGCATCCCGTTTATTGGCCTGTTGTTGGACAACACATCCACACCTTTCGCCTTGGGATTTCTGGTGGTCGTAGCCACCATTATTGGTGTACTGGGCTGCCTCCCTTATATGTGGGCGGCCATCGCCAACGTCTGCCTTTTCGTCGTGTACCGGCCCTTTTATTATACCACTGTCTCGGACTACTCTGCAAAAGTATTTGGGTTTCAGACCTTTGGCAAAGTTTACGGTCTCATAATCTGCCTCGCAGGGCTCTTCAACTTCTTGCAGAGTCCTTTGGATGCAGTCACGCATATGGTGTTCAACAATAACCCGATCCCTGTCAACGTGATCCTTATGAGCATCGCGGTGATTGTGGGCTCCGCGCTGGTGACGTTCACATCGATCAAGGCGAGGACGATGAAGAGAGACTTCTTGGAGGATGAGGCTGAAGGGGCCACAGAGTCCCTGATGCCCAGTGCCATGACGAATGGGAGCGGCTATGGGACATGAGAGAAAAGTGAGATTGATGGGTGGAGTTGTCAGCACCGGCAGAGCATTGTCACTCTCAAGACTGGAGATATCCCAGCTTCTTGCGCCGGATTGTTCCCTCGAGCTGCGTATGTTGTTTTGTTTTCTATTTCCTCTTTTTTTTTTTGACACCAGTGCAACACGAAAAGCAGCCCATCCGGCCGGATCCAGTTTGGGAGGGAAATTGTCGAGTTTTACTTTGCAACGGCGACAAAATATGGCCTGGTGTATAAGCAGGCACTCTTGAGTTCAAGAGAAGAAGGGAGAAAAGTTCTCGCTCGCCTGTTGGACGATGATGCATTAACTGATCCCGGAAGTGACCGGGGGCAAAATGGGAATGGGCTTCGTCGCTTTTATGACCAGGTCAGGCCAGATGATCTCAGATCGATTGACATTTACGGGATTCGTGGAACGTACCAGTACTTGCTGTCCAGTACGGTCCCAATGTCTATAAGAGAGAGGGAATTTTTGACGCGAGTTACGGAGTGAGGATATCCGGGTATTAGTACGTATATACAGCACCCTAGCAAAAATATCCGTCCACCCCACCATTTTTCCACCTACTAGATTTTCAGCCACCACCACTTGTTTCTTTAATTACTTCAACCACGTACGCTTAATCTCTCTGTAACTACTGTTATAATGACAAAAAGCAATGAATATTCTGATTTTGTACGTGGTACAATCAACGGACTTCATTTAGCTGGAAAATCGCAGCGAGAGATCGCCGATATCGTTCAAATACCTCGCAGTTCAGTTCAGTACATTCTCAATCATCTTGAGTCACAGAGCCACCAACGCCCTGGAAGACCTGAAAAACTATCAAATACTCTAAAGAGAAGACTCGTCCGTTACGCAAAGAGATTTCCTAGGCATTCCTATCAACAGTTGATCGATAATAACGATCTTGATGTCTCAATTGATACCGTTCGAAGAGTACTACGCGACTACGGATTACGCCGCTGGATGGCTAAAAACAGGCCTAAACTAAGTAAGGAACATGCTCGTAAACGCCTCGAGTTCGCTCTTGCGCATAAAGACTGGACCTAGGAGGAATGGTCGCGAGTTATTTGGTCAGACGAATGTTCGATACTCCGTGGCAGTGGGATCGCACGCGAATGGCTATTCCGTACGCCAGAACAGAAGTGGAAAAAGGACTTTATTACACCTCGAGGTAAAGCCCAGGACCTCTCGATCATGATCTGGGCAGCAATCTGGGGCCAGGAGGCGTCAGACGCCGTTATTCTATCGCGCGACTGGGAGTCAAAAAAGATGGGCTATTCGGCCAATTCCTATCTCGAAGTGCTTGAGGAAAACATTCCTACCTGCTAGGAACCAGGTAGGATATTCATGCAAGACAATGCCCCAATTCACAAAGCGAAAAAGGTCATAGAATGGTTCGTAGACCGTGGAATAATAGTAATGGATTGGCCACCGTTTTCGCCTGATTTAAACCTAATTGAATCCCTCTGGTTTGAACTAAAACGCCTCGTCAACGAGATCGATCCTGGCCTTAAGGACACTACTGGCGATAGCGATGCTATCAGGCAGCGATTTGCAAGCGCAATTACTAGGGCCTGGGCCAGTATTAGCCCTGGAAAGATCAAGGCAGTGGTCAAGTCAATGGATAACAGGATCAACGAAGTTATCGCCGCCGAGGGCTGGTATACGCGATATTAATAGTTTTTTTTTGCGGAGCTAGGTTTATGACTATTCGGCTAGAGATCCTACAATTTGTATTAAATTATCTCATAAATTGAGTGTGTGGTGGCTACTTGTTATAGAGGTGGTAAGGGTGAAAACATCTGGTGGGGTGGGGGTGGACGGATATTTTTGCTAGGGTGCTGTATGAACCAAAGATACGTATATGTAATACTATGACCGCCCGAGATACTCGCGTACGTACATGAGTTAGGTACCAATCAAATATTCACTTCATACCTGCCGTCTGTACCAGCGAATGCGCTTGTAACAGACTGAACGATGCACTTTGCGAGCTCTCGGTCCGTTACGTAGTTGGTACATGTAGTTGGTAAATATTAGTATACATGTACCTCGTACTCGGTACGAGCATGTCGAAACGTCGAAACATGTCGAAGCAATTTATTGGGAGGAGGACTGACGAATGTATATCTACGAGAATCGGCGGAGCGAGTTGTAACGGCGAGATTGTAGATACATGGGACGAGATGAGACTGGCTTGTACATGTGATTGAGTGTATGGCGGATCTGGCATCTGAATATCATATCATTCACGAACTTCACTAAAGAATGCATGGCTGCTCGTTTGTCTCTCTTGGAAGCTGTAAACAAGGACTGTAGTTTTCTTTTCGACGGAAGGGAGGGAACGTTCGGATGGAGTTGTTCCCCAAGTGCGGCGCATGTAAGTTTCGTCTCTGAGTATCTTTTTTGAAGCGGAGTATAATTGACGGAATGGCTACCGGTGTAGTCCTCTGCGCGACCACGCGACTGTGTAGATGGATTCTCCAACCTTGGTCGAGGATCAACTAGCCACCATGAGAAAGTGCGATATTAATCGTCCTTGTCCCGACAGTCAAATCACATCAATCCGAATCCGCCTCATCGCGAATCCCTCCTGAGCGGCCCACTCAATCCACTCGCCTTTCTGTCTCCTGATTTTGTACATTCGTTCCTTATAATACATGCGATATCGTCAGCGGCCGGGGCCGGCGCGGCACCAAATAACGCCTGAGTGGTGCCGTTCTCTGCAGAACTGGCGGTTGGAGTCGGAGTAGCGAGATGATTCGTTGTGAACATGGTGCAAAAAGGTGGCCTAGAATCCCGGGAGAAGCATCTCACTCCATTCCGAGTTGAAGAATGCGACGGCAGCCTAAACAAAGAAAAGGTCAGTCCATGATCGTCAAGAGTGGAGGACCACTTGGATTGGAAAAGGAAAAGGAAGTGCCCGCGCGAGGCGACTCTAGCAGGAGAAAACTTACTCCAAACATGGCCACACTGATGACAACACTCGAGTTCTCCTCGGAGGTCAACGTATGATATACCTGGCCGAACCAGCCTTTGGGTTGGGACCGACGGGTCGCGGGCTGAACTGTGATGCGCTTGGGAGGCATTGTGGAAAGAAGTGTTGGAGAGTCGGCTGCTGGGGGTGTCTTGGGCTATTCAACTTTGCGGAGTCAAAATTCCCTTACGTTTCGAGAATGTGCAACGAGGACAAAGGGCGATGGATGATGGTGTAGATTTGAAAAGTAGTTGGAACTGCTCTCTAGCTAAATGAATGACCTCCTGCGCAATAAATCGCAGCTTGGAAATTTTGGAGAATCTGGATACGGTGGCGCGCAGGTCTTGTCTAGTGAAGTATCTAGTGCGGATCATTAAGCCAAGGTCTACCTCAAAGTGCTGCTCGTGCTCCACGTGCTCCATCCATCGTGCTCCACGCATCTCCTCCTCCCCCCTTAGTCTCCCTCATCTCTCCCTCTCTACCTAGACAGTTATGGGCAGCTTTCTAACTCCAATCCTGGTCTCCTTCTCTTGCTGATCTTGTTCTTTTGCATCCAGCCACATTTTCCACTTTGCGTTTCGGTCGACCCTAGCAAGAAGCCACTCCGGAGTATGACCCTGCATTTTGTCGTCGATTCCAAGCCGAGCAGCATCCTCATTGACCCATCGGACAAGATCTTCCACATATGCTTCTTCAGCCCCAAGCTCCGCTAGGCTGTGAAAGTCTCTCCCCAAGCCTTTGGTCCGTACCCGTTCATTATACTCTTCGCGCATTCGTTGCTTGGGTGGCAGCTCGGCTTTACCACTCAATACCCTCGCGACCGCCTGGGCTTGGAACTCGAAAAACGAGAATGTGGCAATGTGATATGGAGCCCCGACAAACGCAAGCGTGGGATCCTCAATGTAAAATATGTCCTTGTGCAGGTTGTGCACCATTTCACCTTCGGCGGTGACGAGCACAAATTCGTCTGCTTCACCGGCTGGAATGTCGTCCCGGTGCAGATGTGGGAGGAACGGATAGGAGGTTATGTATCCTGTACAAAGGATGACTGAATGGATATCCGTCAACGCCTCGCCATTCTCGAGAATTACCTTCCCGGGAATTGGTCCTGAAGCTGGAGCATTGACATCGCGGTCCTCATTCAGTTGGAAGGATTTAACGGGCCCGATTCGCGTGGCGCCTGATGGTAAGAAGCTACTAGGAACGTCGAAAGCTCCGTTTCGAGAACTCTGATAAATCTGCTTCGCATAGGCAGCTGATTCTTTGGCGATGTCGCTCGACGATACGCCAGCACCAACGAGAAGGATGTTCTGGTCTTTGAAAATTCGGGGATTGCGGTATCTTTTCGAATGCCAGACTCGATCGGGCCACCCTTGCTTCCACTCTTGGAGCCCCGGAAAGTTGGGTATACGTGGCATATGGTAATGCCCTGATGCCACGACCACGGCATCAAATGTCCAGCGTCGTTCTACCAATCGCGACCCCAGAGGCTCTTTCTGCAACGTTGTCGTCCGCACGACCCATTCACCAAGATACTTCCGCACCTCCTCAACGCGAGTGTGGTACTGTGTGACTGCGGAGACGCCATGCTTGAGTGCAATGTTCTGGATGTATTCCTCCAATACGTTTTGGTTGACGATATCCTCAGTGCCTTCAGGCCACGCGAGCAAACTTGTTCTCATCTCCCTGGTTGAGACGTTGTTCTTCAGGCCGGCATAACATGGCCCTGGTGGTGCATGAGCAATCTCCAGCTTGTCGTTGTCCTCGTTCTCCGGTGGAGGAGTGCTGAATGCGAGCTCCGGCCTTGTCTCATAGTCGCCTTTCGATGGGAGCTCATTCGGGTAGGAGGGATCGACTGATGAACGCTCGTCAAAGTGCCATACTCCGCCGGCGATTCCTGATCTCTCGAATAGAACTACCTCGAGGCCGTGTTTCAACAGGTGTGCAGCTGTACAGACGCCGCTGATACCGGCACCTATCACGGCGACTCGGTTACTCCTAT